TAAATTTTCCCCTTCTATCTTCAACTTCTCAGGTAATTGTACGTAATAGTGAGGGGGGGAGGAGAGAAGAAGAAAATCAATAGGAGATTATATAATTGTATTTCTTATCTTCCAGTGCTGAAGCTATCCATAGAAAATCTAGTTGTCAGAAGACCTCCAACCTTGACAAGGTTAGTCTGGGTTTACAGTCGAGTAGTTTGTGATTTTTAAAGTATTATGATGATGATGATCATTATGGAGCTGTAGCATGTACCTTCTAATTTGGTTGTCAGGGGAGACAGGGAGTGGTAATTAAGGCTAAAAGACGGAGAATGAGAGCCTTATTAAAGGGTATATGGAAGATGGGAATTTGATCTGAGAATTAGGCAGTCATGAGCCCGCGGCTGCAGCTGTGGCGTTCTTGAGTGACAGAGGGACCGAGCAGGCAATTAGAACGACAGGCGTCTGCCTAATCTGTACAATCCCGAACTACATCACATCCATTTAAATTAATTTTTATGAAGCCTGCACATTTATAGCCTCACCAAATTGGAAATTTGTTTGTTTATTGTCCACAGGAAGTAATTTTAGGGGAGCAAACAGCCCCGAGAGCAATCCTGTCTTGCTTGTCTTTTTAACTTGTAAAATTAATAATAGGAAATGAATCCAGAGGCTGCCGCCTTTATGAAGGGCTGATTGATCCTTGGCAGCCGGGCACCATCATGATCATGGGAAGGTCAAAGGGAGGCATGTAAAAGTCACCGCTGATTGAGTCCCTGCGTGGAGTGAAGGATTTGGGAGCGGGAGGGGGGGCTCGTGTTGTTGGGTGCTATAACTGAGAAATCCGTCTTCCCTGCGTTGCTGAAACTGAAATTTCCAGGAACGGATTTTAAACAACTTCGGACATAGTTATTTCAAGATGTCTGTTCGGCCGAGATAGCAATAGTTCATTACCATGCACGCTGAAAACCTATTTTAAGAAGTACTTTGCCACACAAAGATTAATTTACCACATCGCATTTTTTTCTCCCAGTAATGCTAATATAAATAATTGTTGTACCTTAAATTGGCATTATATTTCGACAGCCTAGTTTTTAACATACAAAGAATTGAGCAGAAGCATTGAGAAACAGGGAAATGGACAGAAAACAGGAAACTTTGGGAGCAGAGCTCTCCATTTAAATCCCATTTATTGTTCTGATGGAGTGTGGTAGCTGAGGGTGCCTGCTTCACAATTAAGGTTCAAAAATCATCAAAGTTTTGTTTGACTCAGGACAGAATCTGAAAACTCACCCTAATTAAGAGTGTTCTTATTACCAACTGCTATTTTCTTGTCGGGTTATCTAGTGGGCCTCTGTGTGTAGAAAATGTGATCCTATCGCATCACATCGATAGGTGATAGGTATGCAGTTTTCATGAGCCCTCCTAGTGAAAGGGGTATTGATGTCACCATCCTACAAAATAGTCAACAGATAATACCTATAGATAATGAAATAAAATTTAGGATTAATATAAAAAGTTGAAAATACCGGAAAGTAACATGCCTCTAATTTAGAGAGGAATCCACAGAAAGGAAAAGTTAATTGAATCCTGAAAATGTAGGCATGCTATTTACAGTGTTTGATGTTAAACAACATGAAACTTGTATTTAGGGACATGATTTAAAGCCAGAAATAATGGATTTGAGTATTTATCACTGGGAATACAAAAGAGGAAATAAGGATCCTTCGGAGAGATGGTTTTCATTTTTTATAGGTATTTTTATGTACACAGATCATGTGTTTATAAGCTTCTAATCACTGTCAATTGACTTCACATGAGATATCCGCACCCCCCCCAAAAAAATTTCACTATGGTGTCTTTTACTCTTCATCATTTTTAGTGTGATGATGAATAGCTCAACGGTCCATTTCACTTCCCTCTGTACAAAACTCAAGTGGCCATAGCTAATGTGTCCGTATGTTAGGTTTTGTGCATGTTACGGAGTGAACACGCATGTCATTCTCAGTGCCTTGCTGTGGTTCAGTCCTCCATGCAGTGTTGGAGGAAGGCACCGTCATTTCCTGTTGCATTACCACTCGGGGCATGCAGTCATGGGCCACCCGTGTGCCACCACCATTGACTGGGTGCTGTGTACCTTAACGCCCAGGATGCAGGACTGCTCAGGTGCATCTGACAGAACTCCCTCCCCCTCCAGGACCACCAGACTTTCAAGGGTTTTCTGTAGGCCCCCTAGGGGTTCTGTATCTGTTCAGAACAAATACTGCATGCTTGCTGTGCTAAGGCTTAATTGCGGGCTGCTTCCCAACCATTGGTGGGGCAGTTGATCAAATCAATTGAAGGAGGCCTGTTAACGTGATGGGGAAAATTTGGTGTTGGAAAGGTTGGTGGTAGTGTCTTGTTTTTGAGTATTTTGTTCACAAGCTACAACTCAATGTGCCTTTAACAGGGGAAGGGAGCACAGACCTGTAAGACTGAATGTAGTCTAAACTCTGATATTTAGGGGGCACGTGGCAGGGCTCAGTTAAGTATCTGATTCATCATTTAGGCTCAGGGCATGATCTGGTTCATGGGTTCAAGCCGTATGTCTGGCTCTGTACTGATGGTGTGGAGCCTGCTTTGGGTTCTATCTCCCTCTCTGCCCTCCCCCAGCTTGCTAGCTCTCTCAAAAAATTTAAGAAGTATATAAAAAAATATGCTAATTTTCTAACCTGCAACGAGTAATAGTCCATTGTATATATAAACCACATCTTCTTTATCCCCTCGTATGTTGATGGACATTTGGGCTCTTTCCATAATTTGGCTGTTGATGGTGCTGCTATAACCATTGGGTACATGTTTCCCTTTGAATCAACATTTCTGTTTCCCTTGGATAAATGCCTAGTAGTGCAATTGCTGGGTCATAGGGTAGTTCTATTTTTAATTTTTTTAGGAACCTGCACACTGTTTTCCAGAGCGGCTGCACCAGTTCGCATTCCCAGCAACAGTGAAGAGGGGGTCTCTCTTCTGTGTGTCCTCACTAACACCTGTTGTTGCCTGAGTTGTTTAGACCTTCTGATGGGTGTGAGGTGGTATCTGATGGTGGTTTTGATTTGTATTTCCTTGATGATGAGTGATGTTGAGCATCTTTTCACGTCTATTAGCCATCTGGAAGAAGTATCTGTTCATGTCTTCTGCCCATTTTTTCACTGGATTATTTGGGTTTTTTTGGGTGTTGGGTTTGGTAAGTTCTTGATAGATTTTGGATACTAACCCTTTATATGACATCTGCAAATATCTTCTCCCATTCCATCCGTTGTCTTTTAGTTTTGTTGATTATTTCCTTTGAAGAAGAATGAAATCTTGCCTTTGCAGCAGTGTGGATGGAACTAGGGTGTATTATACTAAGCGAAATAAGTCTGAGAAAGACGTATCCTATGATTTCACTTATACGTGGAATTTGAGGAACACGACAGATGAACATAGGGGAAGGGAAGGAAAAACCAGATGAAAACGGGGGGAGGCAAACCATAAGCGACTCTTACAGAGAACAAATTGAGGGTTGATGGGATGGGGGATGGGGAGGATGGGTTAAATGAGTGATGGGCACTAAGGAGGGGCACTTGCTGGGATGAGCACTGGGTGTCGTATGTAAGTGATGAATCACTAGATTCTACTTCCTGAAGCGAAGATGACACTGTATGGTAACTAACTTAACCACCTTCTCCTTCAACATTTAGGTATTAACACCCATTCTATGCTTAGAAAAGAAGGAAACCATGGCCGGCAAGGTGAGGTGTTGCTCATGGCTTTGTGGAACTTAAAATCTGGGGGGAGAAAGACCAAATGAGACCTCCGTTTCCTAGAGCGTAGAAGAAACGTCATGACTATGTAGGCAATGTGTGTGTGCACCTGGGAGAGGTTTACATAGGACACTTGCACATGTGAATGTACAGCTTCCTATTTGTTGGTGGTAGACTGAATAACCAGTAACTCAGATTTGAAGACGACTTACAGACCCCTTCCTATTAACATGGATGTAAAGTTCTTAATTCAGTGGTTACAAAATGCCTTAATACTAAAATCTTACAAATAAGTTAAATAGAAAAACATCACCTGAATCCATTTATAAAACACCTGAAAAAAATTCTAGAATTTCAAATATGTAGGAGTAACTAATCTAAAATCATAAGAATTTTTAAAGCCACTTAATTCAACTGTTCCTAGAACTGTAGATTTAATTTCTTTGCCTTCTGGTGTAGATGCTCAAAATCTTACTGAAGAAAATGTATGCTAAAAGTCATTATGCAGATTTCTTCAAAACTCTTTTCAGGGATTTCTTTTTGAGGAAATATGGACACTATGCATTTTAGATCCTCCACACATTTTCTAATTCTCATCCAAACTACACATTTGTACAATTACGAAAGTAAAATTTCACTTGGGTGAGTATATATCTGAGTATGTGTGTGAAAACACACACCTTTGACTATCTCCCAGCAGCTACCTGCCTGTGTAAGATATTAAAACATGTTCTCTTATAATTCAGAAGAGCACACAGGTAATAAGACAGTAACGTTTACCTTGAACAAGGCGAACAGGAGTGGAGAAAGCACTTTACCTGGTGTTCTATTTTGCCCACAATATAAATCACAGCTGTGCTTCTAAAATCAGCTTCTGAGAACTATTCCCATAAGTCAGCAATAAACATAATGAAAAGATGCTTAAAATGAGAAATACCACAATTCAATAGTTTAAAAGCACATTTACCAAAAAAAAAAAAAAAAAAAAGTCCTCTTTCACCAGATAAGGAGAAAACCATGGCTTGTGGTACCTAAAGCCTTGCTCTTCAATCTGGGGCTCATTGGAAGTGATTTGTAGAGAACCTTCTGGCCAGTGTCTGTTACAGAGCATTGTGGTTTTACAGACATCAGTTGTATGACTTTGCCATTTGTCTTGTGACTGTAGGCGTGCTTTGAGGAGGAGGGTGTGAGAAAAACTTTTTCCTTTGTGTTTTGTTGGCTGCTCTCTGCTTCAAAACTAAAAGGACCTTGTTGGGAACTTCTGGCAAACTAGACAGGGTTCAGATCTCAGCACAGGCGTGAAAGCCATTCAAGATGTCCAGACTCCCACGTGAGACCTCCTCCATCCACTTCACCAAAGAGCAGTAGTGGATGAAAATATCCGCAGCCTGTCTATCTGATGTAACCCTCTCAGTATCTGAAATGTGTAGGGAACTCCTGCAACACAAGAGAGAAACCACTGTTCAATGGGCGAAGAACTCTTAAGGGCTTGAATAAACAGGTTTTCCCCCAACGAAGATCTACAGTAGCCAACAAGTTCATGAAAGGATGTTGGACATCACTAATAAGGGAAAGGCAAATCAAAACCACAATGAGATGTCACCTCACACCTGTTAGGATGGCTGTTACAGATATTAAAAAGTCAGTATGTGGAGAAAGGGGAACTTTCATGCACTGTTGGTAGGAATGCAAACTGGTGCAGCCAGTCTGGAGAACAGAATGGAGGTTTCTCACAAGATTAAAAGTAGAACTACCCTGTGACCTAGTTATTCTACTTGGGAGTATCTAAAGGGAATGAAATCCAGATCTTAAAGATCTCTATAGCCCATGTTCATTGCGGTGTTTTTCACGGTATCCAAGACATGGAAACAACCTAAGTGTCCATTGATGGATGAATGGATAGAGAACAATGTGTGTACACACGGTGGAATTCCAGCCATAAAAAAGGAAGCCAGCCATCTGTGACAGCATGATGGAACTGGAGGACAGTACAACGGCTGAAATAAGTCACAGAACAAATGTTACCCGGTGGGACTTCTATGAGGAATCTAAACATCCAACTCAGTCAGAAGGTGCAATATGGTTTTTGCTGAGAACTTGGAGAAGGAATAGGGTTGGTCAGAGGTTCCAAAATTTGTTACTCAAGATTAAGTCCCAGACAGCTACCATACAGCATGGTGATGATCAGTATACTATATGGTGTACTGGAAGATACGCTAAAACAAGTGTATGTTTTCCAAAGGATTCTTTTTTTTAATGAAACTTATTGTCCAATTGGTTTCCATACAACACCCAGTGCTCATCCCAACAGGTGCCCTCCTCCATGCCCATCACCCACCCTCCCCCCCCCCCCCGGTCTTCTGTTAAGTTTCTCAGGATCCACATAAGAGTGAAAACATGGTATCTCTTTCTCTGCCTCACTGATTTCACTTAGCATAACGCCCTCCAGTTCCATCCACGTTGCTGTAAATGGCCAGATTTCATTCCTTCTCGTTGCCAAGTAGTATTCCATTGTGTATATAAACCACATCTTCTTTATCCATTCGTCAGTTGATGGACATTTAGGCTCTTTCCGTAATTTGGCTATTGTTGAAAGTGCTGCTATAAACATTGGGGTACAAGTGCCCCTGTGTATCAGTACTCCTGTAACTCTTGGGTAAACTCCTAGCAGTGCTATTGCTGGGTCATAGGGTAGTTCTATTTTTAATGTTTTGAGGAACATTAAATGTTTAATGTTTTAATGTTTTGAGGAAAACACAGTTTTCCAGAGTGGGTGCATCGGTTTGCATTCCCACCAACAGTGCAATGTCCTCGCCAGCATCTCTAGTCTCCCGATTTGTTCATTTTAGCCACTCTGACTGTCGTGAGGTGGTATCTCTCTCAGTGTGGTTTTGATTTGTATTTCCCTGATGAGTGACATTGAGCATCTTTTCATGTGTGTTGGCCATCTGGATGTCTTCAATAGAAAAGTGTCTATTTGTGTCTTCTGCCCATTTCTTCACTGGATTGTTTTTAGGGTGTGGAGTTTGGTGAGTTCTGTACAGATTTTGGATACTAGCCCTTTATCCAATATGTCATTTGCAAATATCTTTTCCCATTCCATCGGTTACCTTATAGTTTTGTTGTTTCCTTTGCAGTGCAGAAGCTTTTTATCTTGATGAGGTCCCAAGTGTACGTTTTTGCTTTTAATTCCCTTGCCTTTGGAGACATGTCAAGTAAGAAATTGCTGTGGCTGAGGTCAAAGAAGGTTGTTTTTTTTTTTTTTTTTTTTCTGCTTTCTCCTCCAGGGTTTTGATGGTTTCCTGTTTCGCATTCAGGTCCTTCATCCATTTTGAGTTTATCTTTGTGAACGGTGTAAGAAAGTGGTTTAGTTTCATTCTTCATGTTGCCATCCAGTTCTCCCAGCACCATTTGTTAAAGAGACTGTCTTTTTTTCTGTTGGAAAGTCTTTCCTGCTTTGTCAAAGATTAGTTGGCCATACATTTGTGGGTCCAATTCTGGAGTCTCTGTTCCATTGGTCTGTTTTTGTGCCAATAGCATGCTGTCTTGATGATTACAGCTTTGTAGTAGAGACTAAAGTCTGGGGTTGTGATGCCTCCTGCTTTGGTTTTCTTCCTCAATACTACTATGGCTATTCGGAGTCTTTTGTGTTTCCATATAAATTTTAGGATTGCTTGTTCTAGCTTCGAGAAGAATGCTGGTGCAATTTGGGATTGCATTGAATGTGTAGATAGCTTTGGGTAGTATTGACATTTTAACAATATTTATTCTTCCAATCCATGAGCACAGGACGTTTTTCTGTTTCTTTATATCTTCTTCAATTTCCTTCGTAAGCTTTCTATAGTTTTCAGCATACAGATCTTTTACATCTTTGGTTAGGTTTATTCCTAGGTGTATTATGATTCTTGGTGCAATTGTGAATGAGATCAGTTTTATTTGTCTTTCTGTTGCTTCATTATTAGTGTATAAGAATGCAACTGATTTCTGTATATTGATTTTGTATCCTGAGACTGCTGAATTCATGTATCCATTCTAGCAGGCTTGGTGGAGTCTGTCGGGTTTTCCATGTATAATATCATGTCATCTGCAAAAAGTGAAAGCTTGACTTCATCTTTGCCCATTTTGATGCCTTTGATTTCCTTTTGTTGTCTGATTGCTTGATGCTAGAACTTCCAACACTATGTTAAACGACAGTGGTGAGAGTGGACATCCCTGTCGTGTTCCTGATCTTGGGGAAAGCTCTCAGTTTTTCCCCCATTGAGGATGATATTAGCTGTGGGCTTTTCATAGATGGCTTTTATGATGTTTAAGTATGTTCCTTCTATCCCGACTTCCTTGAGGGTTTTTATTAAGACAGGATGCTGAGTTGTCAAATGCCTTTTATGCATCGATTGACAGGATCATATGCTTATCTTTTCTTTTATTAACGTGATGTATCACATTGATTTGCGAATATTGAACCAGCCCTGCAGCCCAGGAATGAATCCTTGATCATGGTGAGTAATTCTTTTTATATGCTGTTGAATTCGATTTGCTAGTATCTTGAGAATTTTTGCATCCATATTCATCAGGGATATTGGCCTGTAGGTCTTTTTTGCTGGGTCTTTGGTTTGGGAATCAAAGTAATGCTGGCTTCATAGAATGAGTCTGGAAGTTTTCCTTCCCTTTCTATTTTTTGGAACAACTTGAGAAGGACAGGTATTATCTCTGCTTCAAATGTCTGGTAGAATTCCCCAGGGAAGCCATCTGGTCCTGGACTTTAATTTGTTGGGAGATTTTTGATAACTGATTCAATTTCTTCACTGGTTATGGGTCTGTTAAAACTTTCTATTTCTTCCTGCTTGATTTTTGGAAGTGTGTGGGTGCTTAGGAATTTGTCCATTTCTTCCAGGTTGTCCAGTTTGTTGGCATATAATTTTTCACAGTATTCCCTAATAATTGCTTATATTTCTGAGGGATTGCTTATAATTCCATTTTTATTCATGATTTTATCTGTTTGGATTCTCTCCCTTTTTGAGAAGGCTGGCTAGAGTTTAATCAATTTTATTTTTTCAAAAAACCAACTCTTGGTTTCATTGATCTGCTCTACAGTTCTTTAGATTCTGTACTGTTTACTTCTGCTCTGGTCTTTATTATTTCTCTTCTGTGTTTGGGGTGTCTTTGCTGTTCTGCTTCTATTTCCTTTAGATGTGCTGTTAGATTTTGTATTTGGGATTTTTCTTGTTTCTTGAGATAGGCCTGGATTGCAATGTATTTTCCTCTCAGGACTGCCTTTGCTGCATCCCAAAGCATTTGGATTGTATTTTCATTTGTTTCCATATATTTCTTAATTTCTTCTCTCATTGCCTGGTTGACCCATTCATTCTTTAGTAGGGTGTTCTTTAACCTCCATGCTTTTGGAGGTTTTCCAGACTTTTTCCTGTGGTTGATTTCAAGTTTCATAGCATTGTGGTCTGAAAGTGTGCATGGTATGATCTCAATTCTTTTATACTTGTAAAGGGCTATTTTGTGACCCAGTATGTGATCTATCTTGGAGAATGTTCCATGTGTGCTCAAGAAGAACATATATTCTATTGCTTTGGGATGCAGAGTTCTAAATAGATCTGTCAAGTCCATCTGATCCAATATATCATTCAGGGCCCTTGTTTCTTTATTGATCCTGTGTCTAGATGATCTATCTGTTGTTGTAAGTGGAGTATTAAAGTCCCCTGCAATTACCACATTCTTATCAAGAAGGTTGCTTAGGTTTGTGATTATTTTATGTATTTGGGGGCTTCCATATTCGGGGCACAGACATTTATAATTGTTAGCTCTTCCTGATGGATAGACCCTGTAATTATTATATAATGCCCTTCATCTCTTGTTACAGCCTTTAATTTAAAGTCTAGTTTGTTTGATATAAGTATGACTACTCCAGCTTTCTTTTGACTTCCAGTAGCATGATAGTTCTCCATTCCTTCACTGTCAATCTGAAGGTGTCCTCGGGTCTAAAATGAGTCTCTTGTAGACACCAAATAGATGGGTCTTGTTTTTCTATCCATTCTGATACCCTGTGCCTTTTGATTGGAGCATTTAGTCCATTTACATTCAGTGTTACTGAAAGATATGGGTTTAGAATCATTGTGATGTCTGTAGGTTTCATGCTTGTAGTGATGTCTCTGGTACTTTGTGGTCCTTGCAACATTTCACTCAGAGTGCCCCTTAGGATCTCTTGTAGGGCTGGTTTAGTGGTGACAAATTCCTTCAGTTT